ATCAATAGAGAGAAAATTTTTTTAAAAATCCTATATAATAAAGAGCTATTATGCTAATTAGACCGAACAGCCGAATGACTGTCCAGAAGGTCCCAGACAAAGTTGGGGCTGTGAGGGCCAAGCTCCTTGCACAAATTTTGTGCACCAGGCCTCTAGTAATAATATAAATAAAAACAAAACAAAAAAACGGACATGTTCCTACCCTTACAGAACTCCAGCCTTGTGGGGGAGAAAGCTTTATATCTATAATGTATTTAATACTTTATTGCTGCTCTATTTTTAATACTACTTACAATTAATTAATAATCATAATAATATGAGCGCTTTGGGGGAAAGTACACATTATTATGAAATGGTTTAAGAGATAGAGGTAATTGAGATGGGAAGGGTCGGTAGAGTCACTCAGAACCTGACTGGCTGGAACTCATCATTTTATTTGAAACTTTCAAGCATCTGACAGTGTCTGGAACATAACAAATAAGAAATGTTTACTCAGTAAACTCGAGATTAGGATGAGTTATTTTATAACGATCTTTGCAAACAGAATTATAAAGACCATATTTGCTTCCTTTGAATATTCTAGTTATGAATGTTGAAATTACTCCTAATGATGAAACTTTTTTTTTTTTGGTGGGGTGTTGTCCTGGTTTACTATATCGGTATGTATTTATTCTACACAGGAAATTTTTCCTTAAGATTAACAAATATCACACTTATGTAAGCCTTCTCCTTCCCAATAGATACTGTATTAGCCCTTTCCCCAAGCACATCTTTGAAAATAATATCATGTTTATAAATAATATCATTTTTCCATTGGGATTTTCTTCTCATTTGTATTGAAAGGGAATGAGATGAATTGTTACACCTGTAGCCCATTGTGATATACATTTTCGTCTCTTCTCTGTATGAATTGATAACTGGCACAGACATGATAAGATCTAGGCCAGTGAGCATCAGGCAACCAACCGTCAACTGAGTTTATAAAAGATGAGAGGACTGAAAACCAGGGTAACCAGCTCGGGGAAATTGGGGCATGTGATTAGGAAGACACATGATTCCCCAGCCTTCTTCCAGACGTTAGTAGAAAGGTTTTGTTGTGTTTTTTGTTTGTTTAATCCTCACCAGAGGATATGAGAGAAACATTGATTTGAGAAACATTGATTGGTTGCCTCCCATATGCACCCTAACTGGGGATCTAACCCGCAACCTAGGTATGTGCCCTGATCAGGAATCAAAACTGCAACCTTTTGGTGTACGGTAGATGCTCCAACCAGCTATGAGCCCTGGCTGGTGTTGCTCAATGGTTAGAGTGTTGGCCCATGCACTGATCATTTTTATCTAAGATCAAATGAGATAAGATGCTTTTGTTAAATGGGAAGATGCTATAGTAATGCAACATTACTGTTGTTTGTTGCTGTTGTTTTGTTGGCTTTTATGTTTAACTTATTGGTCTGGATTCTGGCGTATCTGTTATTCACTGTTATTAAAAATGTCTTTTGTAAGCAAGCAGTATGTCTCTAGGAATTAGTTTTAAATTTAGCACTCTTTTTTCTCTGATTAGATAAATAACTGCTATGTTATATATAATAGTATTGGAATGCCATGGCCCTATATAGACCCCTAGATGTTTAATAATACCATATTTCAAATGACCTAAAATGAAAAGAACAACTTGAATCTTGGAGATGAAATTTCCACAGGACACAGAGCCAAGATAGATAAGGGTCTCTTGGTTAAGTTTCAATACAAAGTTGACAGACCTCTTGACAAAAGTTTGATAATGCTGAAGCTTTTTATACCCAGCACACCAGATTTTGCTTTGTTTTGTTAAGGAAATGCTGAATTCTATTAATTCTTTTTCTACAGTGCCTCCAAAGCCATTACATCTGCAGAATTCACCTTTGTCCAGTATACACCCAACCCCTAAGCATAAAGCTTTATCTAGTGCAGCACCCAGGATGGAGGAAGTTAAACCTGCCTCTGCTTCTTGTGTCTCAAAAGAAAAATCCAGTAAAATATCAGATCTCATCAGTCGCTTTGAAGGAGGCAGGTAAGAGCTAATTCACAGCGGGAGAAGGCAGAGGGGAGACGAACGCTGAGTTTTGAAAAAGATGACAGAGTCATAAGTTTTCCAAATCAAACATACATCTTCTTCCATTGGGTTTGGTAGGCCTTTAGAAATAGTGAATTTTAAACGTATTTAATCTTGCCCTAAGAGAAACTGTCATTTACTGTTTGTTATCTATGTGCAGCACTAATAGCACCCGCTTCTTCACATTCTGTGCTATGTATGTTATAGGCGTGCCCTCTCAGCGCCTCGGTATCTGTGTGTGTCCTTGGGGTCATTGTGTTGGTCGCTGGATATCTGGGTTGGGAAGGCAGGAGGTTGTGTCTGTCTCTGTTTCTTGCTTTGTATGTTTGTGGATGTGACTCCAGTGGGCCTGTCCCATCTCCGCAGGCTTCTTTCTGACCCACTGTATTTATCGTGGGTCTTCTGTATCCAATCTGTATCTGTTTCCCCTCTCCTCACACCCCTGCTCTTACTATATACTAGATATTGTGAAGAGATATTGACAATTGATATAGTTTTATATCCTTTAGTCCTAATGTTTCAAAAAAGGTAGGTGAGACACTGTATTTCTCACTTAAAGAAAAAAAAAACAACTCACATAAGTTGCTTTTCTACTTATATGACCCTCAATTGTTTTTCCTTAGAATTCCCATCACTGACAAATAGAGTTTTGGAAAAATTTTATCAGAAGCGTTTTGTTGTTATTTTTATGTCACCAAGAGACTGTATATAATTTAACAGAATATGTATATGTTTACTCTCATCCTTGAAGCCACTAATTTCCATTAAATCCAGTGTAATATTTGGGAATATTAGGTGGTTTTACTGTTTGCAGGATTTATTGTTATATATGTAATGAACCAAAGTTTGGAAATGCTTTCAAAATCTTCTGGAAATTGTGACCCATTACAAAGCGGCAATGTCCCTCATTTAAAATGAGACTATATTTAGTAACAAGTTCTGGAGAAAATTAGTTCAGAAGCCTGTCTTCAATTTTTGTTCCCCGTTAATTGGGGGAGCCTGAGTCATGAATATTTAAATTTCAACATCTCCTCCTCGGAAGTAGGATTTTTTAATAGCTTTGCTATCTTAAATTATAGCAATCTACTAAATGATTTAATCCCACTTAAAATTTTTGTTTCCCAGAACAAGTTGATTTAATCTGAGAGCACGACCCCTCATATTTGTAGGTTTCCAGGGCCATGTCTATGACTGTCATATAGCGAGGCCCTGGAGCCCTGGCCCCTGTTCACGGTGCGTGCCAGAACCCGAATCCCCTGAGTGGGTCAGTATTCCAAAGGCTGAGTCCTCTAAACCTCACAAATATGGTAACCCCCTCTTTGCATTCCTCTCCATATGCAAAAGGTACACAGTTTTCCCACTCATTGATACCAGTTTTCTTTTATTCTTTCAGACTTCACAGATAAAAAGTCATATTTTGATGCAAAGCTAGAAGGTTGGATCTAAGGAGAGATGTGCTATAATTTATGACATTTTAAGAAAACTTGTTCTAAGTGAAGCTAGGATATCACGTGAGCATTTTGGCAAATCTGCTGAAGGACTGTTACTTGTGGCCAAGTCCACTGCCATGTGTTCTTAGTGAGGTGTTTTGAGTAGAAACTGACCCTAAAAGTGCCTGAGGGGTTAGTACTGCTTTGGGTCTATGGAGCTTGAATGGGAAGTTTGTATTTCCTGTCCACTGATGTCCATGTACCTGCAGTATAGCTCTTGGGTTATACCTCAGTTATTATAGCTTGAACCAGCACTCTGTGGACTAGAGGGAGATTTGGTGGGCTGTGCGTTACCACAGTAGATTGACAGGAAGAAGCAATGTCTGCTGCAGTGGCATCATAGAAGACCAGTTGCACTTGTTAAGACCTCACCCACGTAGCAGAGTTTCGCTCTTTACAATAATCTAGATAGCTCTGTTTCATTAAGATAAGTGACATAGAGGAGGTATTTGAAACAAGTGAAATTTTATTTTTTACTGTAGTTTGTTTGTTTGCTTATTTATTTATTTATTTATTTATTTATTTATTTATTGGAGGGTAAGAGAAACTAGTCTTTTTAACCTATGACATATTTCAGGATTTTAGAAATAAATAAGTAAGATTTCCCCACACAACTGAACATTGGTTTTTCCCAAGGACACTGCTTAGGCCAACTGTTTTTCTCCAAAGCATCAGGAATCTCCTACGAATTAACCACTGCTTTTACTAACCCCCCACCTCATCCCTTACCCCATTCCCCCCACATGTCCCCTGGATGTCACTTATTGCAGGAAATTCCCTCCTGTCATCCACAGCAGTCCTTTCCAGAAATCTTAAGCAAGCCCAAAGCTTGCTACAGAGGATCTTCTGAGGGTCTTTCTACTGGGCTGCTGATATGGTCAGAAAAAGGAGTACAGTTTGATTCATTCTCCAAGGGCCATTTGGGAAATTATCTAGGCCAAGGGTATACTTCATAGAAGATAACCTTCATTGATGGAGTGTGTCACCTTTATTTATTTTGATAACCTCCAACTTTTACATAGATGACGTGTTCTCCTACCAGTATTTTCCTTCCTGTGGAGCTGAAACTGACCATGTCTTCTTTCCTCCCTTATTACTTTCCTGCTGTCTGTTGCTATTCCCTGTTCCATTCTCCAGTTCAGATCAGCAGTGTTTGGGAGGAGTGGAGTGAGAAGAGAGGGGGTCACACATCTCAGCATCGTCCATGGCCCTTGCTGCTGTGCCTGGTGCGCTCCCCCCCCCCTTTTCTTCCCGTCTCTACCCTCTGATGTCTTCCTGCACTGGGAGGATGCGAGCCCTGGGCTGTCTTCTCACAATTGTATGTGGCCTACTCACTTGCTCCTCTCTCCCTCCTTCATGGCCCAGTGCATTGATTATAATGTGGGGTTAGACTGTGGGATTTAGCATCAGACTTCATGGTTTGAACTCTGGCCTTCTCATGTGTTAGCCATGTGACATTGCCACTTTATGTGAGTTTCAAAGCCTGGATTTATGGGGGCCCTACTTTGGAAATATTATGAGGCTGAAACAAGATAACTATTATGAAGGGCTTGGTGTCGGTTTTGGCACTTAATAAATGTTAGCTGCTAATACTGAATTGGTGCCATGATCATCATCACAACCACAGTTATTTATTACTCATTGAGTACTTACTGAGCACTTTTCATATGGCAAGTGCTGTGCTAAGGAGTCGGGATAGCGCAGAGAACAGGACAGATATGCTCTGCACCCTCTTGGAGCATTAGTCTAAATTTATCTTTATTCCTCGTTAGGTCATAGGAATCTCTCCAAGACTGCAGCCCAGAGTTTTATGTTTTTCCTCCCTGGAATCCTAGATTAAAATGCTATACAGATATTCCCATAGGAATATTGAAATATATTGGCAGTTAGGTTCCATCATACTATTGTTGGTCTATACGGTGGTAAGTAATAATAAGAACTTAAAATAAAATAAAATGTGTATTTAGTGGTGGAGTGTGCTGTCATGGAGAGAACCATCCAGGAGGTGACATCTGAGCAGAACCCTGAGTGATGGGCAGGAGGAAGCCAGCCAGTGTCTTAGGGGAGGAGGTCCTGGGCAGAGAGAGCAGCAGCGCAGAGATCCTTGGATGCGTGTGTTCGCTTACTGGGAGGTGGGGAGACAGCAAGGAGACAGGAATGCAAGAGCACGGGGAGTGAGGAGAAATGGAATTTAATGAGGCCAGGCTAGCAGAGTATACAGAATCTCCAGGGCCATGGTCAGGATGCCAGATTGACCTTTAAGTGTGTGGGGAAGCCCGAGCTGAGTTTGATCTCTGTGGCCAACTTGGAGAGACTAAATTGGAGGGGACCGGGCGTGGGAGCGGAGAGATGAGTTAGGAGGCTATGGCAGCATGTGCAATCAAGTTTTTGAGATGTATTTCACTTCCCAAACAAAAATAACTTTTGGTTTCTAACCTTTTCATACATTGAGGACTGGCTCTATTTATTTTTAAAATGTTAAGAAAGTAGAAGTCTTGGCAAAAGATGGTTTTATAAATATAAATATTTCTCATATTTAAGTCTCTACTAACTAGCAATATTGATAAACAGCCCAAGGAAATGTTTCAGCCCTTATAGATAATGGTCAGGCCTGTCATCTTTATTTAAATGTTTCTTGAAGTGCAGATAGCATTGCCAGAGACTGAAAACTACACTGGAATATTCTTATCTGTGTTTCTAAAACCATCAGCAGGGGAAATGTCTTTACTAACTATCCCCTTTCCGCTGGAATAAACTTGTTTTTATTCTAGAGCTGGTCCATGCCAGTGTTCTCACACTTCCTCTGGATTTCGTCTTTTAGCACATTATCAAGTTACGGTGATTTGAAGAAACATTCGGCTGTGAACCTACATGTTCTTAGAACCTCGGGAAGGCATGGACTGACAACCACACCTCAGCAAAAGCTCCCCTCCCAGGACCCACCACAGAAGCAGGGAAGTGATGTGGAGCCAACTCAGGGTGTACAAACTTGTGTGGCTAACGGTGTGATGGAGGCACAAAGCCAGGTGGAATGTGAGGAGGACCAAGCGGCCGCTGGTAGCCCAGATACTCCTACTCAAGCTGCTGAACCCTTGCTGGACACGAACTTAGTGAATGGAGCAGGAGACGAAAGTACCACGGGCCCCGCCTCACCCACAACAAATGACTGTGATGGAAATGCTTCTGACAGCAGCTGCAGGACGCCCAGTGTGGACCCAGCCCTCCCCCTGGAAGAAGAAAGGGCAGACACAGACGCCAAGGCTCAAGAGAAGGAAAACGGAGAAAGCTCTTCGGAACTGGAACAGCTGGACCAGCACCAGGAGATGAAGGTAAAGCATGAGACCGGCCTATAAGTAGGAGGGAACACTGATCATTTAAAAAAATAATATTTTTAAAAATATGTTTTTATTGATGAGAGAGGGGGTAGGTGGGGGGAGAGAGGAAAGGAAAGGAGAAGGATAGAGTGATAGAAACATCAATGAGAGAGAAGCGTCTGTTGGCTGCCTCCTGCACACCTCACTACCAGTTGTGGAATCAAGCCCACAACCTGGGCATGTGCCCTGACTGGGAATCGAACTGTGATCTCCTGGTTCACAGGTCGATGCTCCACTACTGTTTTAAAACTCTGTTTCATAGCACCCGTGCAATGAATGAGTCAGATCACCCTCCGCCCCAGGGAAACAGTTTTCTAGCTCCAGCTGGTAACGGGTTTTCCCCTACTTTCTGTAGGTTCTGTCGACCTGTTGTGATTTCAGGAGTCAGAAGAGTGTGTGTAGACTTTGATACAGGCAAACCACAACATTGCTTTTGTTTACAGAGGAAGCAAAGGTTCTTTGTTGCTAGGTATTAGGGCTGCACCCCTAATATTTATGGTCTAAGCAAGAGGAAATTGCATAATCTTTGCTTTTCAGACATTTCTAATTTAATAGAAGAAATAGACTTGGAAGATTAACTTATACTAGCAAATGTGTCTTGTAAGGACATGAATATGGAAGTAGTCACAAATTAGCCAATAGCTATCTGTAACTCTTTCCAGGCTTCTAAGTTTTTTTTTTTAAAAAATCTAATTAACACACCATTTATAATTAGAAGACTCCTTAAAAATTGCCTGAGCCAGCAATCCATTTATAGAAGTAGGAACAGTCCCAGAAAGCTGAAGTGATTTTCCAGGGTTATAATAATAGCCGAGACCCCTTGTGCCCTGATTCCCAGGCCAGTGTTGTATCCCGGATGCCATGAGTCACAAACATAAATGCCAAAATGTGGGAAATGTCAGTGAGTGCAGCAGCCATGAGTCATATACTAGAGGGGGGTGAGACTGTGGCACACTGGAAGTTGACATCCTTTCTGAAGAGTCCTGAGAACCACCTGAGTGGCATTTCTGCCCTTGTGCCAACAGAGAGCTGATTTGTTGGTGAAATGTGCTCATCGTTTACCGGTGCTGTAGCAGGAACTTTGATACAATTGCAGTGGTAAGACCATTGCATTTGTATTCTTTATCCATGTCAGTGTAGTGCTTTTGAAATATTAATAAATAATGGCTTTTACAAAGTATTTGGAATTTCTTGGATTAGAGGTGCCATGGAAGCCTCATGGTAGATGCTGGAATAGAAAGTTGTTTTCATCTCTGAAGACAAGAAAAAAGTTTCCATTGCTTAGTCTCTTATCAATTTCAAATAACAATCTATGAAGGAGAGTTGAGAATTGAAAATTTGATAATTCTATCAAAATTTGTAAGTGACAAATCCAAGTCCTAAATCTATGTACTTTTTTTTTTTTTTTTGGTATGGTGCTGTGTCTTAACTGGCATTAACATAGGCAGAAATTCAAAAGGACTGATACTAAAATATTAGAGTAAAAAGTGCTTGATGGATGTGTTTAGAACTTTGAAGTGAAATCCACCTTATGGTACAATTTTCACTGCCCCTGAAACAAAAGAAAATTCCAAAAAGGAGCCACTGGTTTATTTTCTCGAGGTTTGGAGAATTGATTTTAAATGCTGACTTTCAAGCAAGGAAAGTTCAGAGGAGGAAGTGGGTGGGAGAAAGTGTGAGTCATACTTGGTAACATCTGAAACAGGACATGCAAAGTGGCTCTCTTACCATCTTGATAGTGAGTTAGTGTGTCTCTGCTTGAACCATGGTGCACAGAAGAGAAGGTTAGAATCAAGAAACTCAACACTCAGACAGCTGTCCTTTCACTGTTGGGAGGATGCCACCAGCAAGTATTTATTTAACAGTAAGAGCCGTTCTTATTAAGGGAAATATTTTAGTTGGTAAGGATGCCTGTGGTTGCTGGGTTCTACTTTCCCCCCACTGTCATATAGTATTATGTGTCCATTTTCAGAGATTGGTTTGGGAGAGACTTAATCGGGCTTCTGTATTAAACTAGTGAAATCTAGGAGAGTACAGCTGGCCTTTCTCCTAAATGGGAATGTAAGTAGTGGATGGCGTGTGCTCTGTGTGGGAAGAAAATAATTTTTTTTCTCTGCAGAGCTGTAGTTCTGAACACCACATGTCTCCGATCCGGAAAGGAGTCTTAGGATTTAATTTCTATGTGGTGACCATGTGTTCCTCTTTGCTGCTCTGATGCTTGTTGCATTGCCTTTCCTTGTTCCAAAGTACAAACATAAATGTTAATAGTGTTAAGATGGTAACTTTTATATTATGTACATTTTACTGTAATGAAGCATAACACAGAAATCTTAATTTAGCGGTATAGAGTGAACCAAACAACCAGAACCAGGAAATCTGGACTTGTCCACTAACTAACGGTACGGCTTTCAACAAGTCAGTTTTGTGTACCTTTAGTTAAAGGATATAAACTGAGTATGATCATAGGCCCTTTTCAGTGGTATCAGCATCTAAGTAGGTACATTCCTTTGTTAGCACCGCCCTCCACATAGGCAGCTGCTTCTTAATCTGTCATGTGTTGAACTTCATCTAAGAGGTAATGGAATATTTGAGTTTCACAATGCAGACAACTGAAAAAAAAATGTCTATCCTTATATAACTCGATAAAGAGATTTATATCAGAAAAGGATTAAATAGGTTTCATTTGTCCCAGAATTAAATTTAATGGACATTTCCTAAGTGCCCACCAGGAATGGGAGGAGGAGGGGTTGGGGGCTGGAAGGTAGGAGTAGAATAGAATCACAAAGATACTTCACGAAAGTAGAGACATATTAAAGTGCATCTTGAGCAATCGTTAATAATTGAGAACTGACTTGAAAACAGTCTCAGCTTATGTAACTGTTTTATTGATTATCTGATGTATTTTGATCAAGAATCTCTCTCAGTGGTCAATAGAAAATACTGTTATTTTTACCTTGTAAAAGATAAAGAATACCTACCTTACTGAAACTATTGACTCTACCATAAACAGATTAAACACACACACACACACACACACACACCTCAGAGCCAAAGGAGAATTGTTAACACTTTACGATCCCTTTATCTCTCACCCACAAGGTGTTACAGTACCTTTAAATTAAGGTTAATTGTGTATTACAGCAGATGAAAAGATTGAAATCTACTGAAGGGGAGATGTTATAAGGAAAAACTGAAACCCATAAGTTCCAGGGAAGGTAGCGGCAAAGGACTATCGTGTGTGTACGTGTGCTGCCCGCACAGGCAAGCATACTTGAGGAGATTGGGGGGTGGGGGTGAGGGGTTGAAATAGTATTAGAATTTCTGTTTGGCATGACTAATTTGTGTTATCATGACTAGCTTAATTAGGAGACTCAGGTAAGTGAGTCAATATATTTTAGAATGAATGTTACTAAAAATGGTCACTCTGTCTCAGACTTGTGGGCTTTGGTGGGTCAGCTTTAGTAGGCATGCGCTGATGTGGAATGCTATATAGACGTAAACTTCTCTTTCGTTTGTGTGAGCCTTCTAATATCCAATTATATACTTTAATGTACTATATTGGTATGTTTTTCTGTTATTTATTGTTTTCCTCTATAATTTTATACTATAGGCCAAATATAAATGTGTGTAGATATAAGCTTTTAAAGACTAAGTTTAAATAAATAACAAATCTCTGTTACTGGCAACATAAGCTCAAAGTAGCAATATATTAAACCTCTAAAAATAGCAGTTTTTTTTAAGACTGTAGCAGAAGCAGTTTTGTTTTTTAAGTCAGAGTAATATTATTATGTAGAGTTAAAATACCCACTGGGGATGGTTTCCTACCTCATAAAATGTAATTCCAAAATAGATTTAGAGACTTTCCTCAATATAAGTATACTCCCCCAGAAGTCTCTGATTTCTTGCCTTTTCTTCTTCACCTCCACACCCCTCACAGGATGGTATGGAATTTTTGCAAAATAATGTAAATGAACTATGTATAAGCAAGTTCTTACTTTTTAAAATCCCAGTCCCTGGGCCAAAAGCTCCTTTAAAATATTTAAATTGCCCTAGGATTGTTGGCTTTTACTTTCATAGCAAAGACTTCTTTCTAAACCTGTATCAGTAATCATGCTGAGTGAACTGCATTGTCCTCAGTTCATCGCCACAGGGAAGGGGAGGATGTAGTTGCTATTGTCTGCCTTTGACTTCATGACTAGAAGGAATCTAGTACCCGGCCAGATCCTAGACTACCTGATGGGCAATATTATTGCCTTCATCACAGCCTTCTGCCATCCTCCTCCTCCTCCTCCTCCTCCATCTACATTTTTTGGGAATCATTATTGAATGTGGTGGCAGATGAATGTCTCTCAGTGAAACCAAAAGCATGTGACAAGCCAGCTCAGCAGGGCCATGCCATCCTTGTGATGCGCTCTGCCTTGGTCCCTGTGGTGCGGGGAGGCGCTTCAGCCTCACCCCATGTTCTAGGATTCTCTCAGTGGTTTCTTGATAGCTGGTAGTTGTTCTTAATTCAGGGGGAGTGAAGTCAGGAACAGCCCACGTCACCATGTTAGTTATGTCATTCCCTAGAGATAATTTTTAAATTTTAATCTTTCATGTCACCAACAATGAAAGAAATTATATGGTAAAGTAGGAGATAGATGAAGAAGGAGGTCGCCAGCCACAAAGTACAGATTTATGGAAACATTTTTAAAAGTTAAAAAAAAAAAAACACCTCAGTGTTTACTTCCTAGTTATTTCTGGTTTTTAAATTACCATTTATTTATTATATTACATAAGACTTGAGGGTTTATAACTTTTGAACATAAATAAAATTAAGATAATCGTCTTCTTGGGAAAAAGAATGACAGAGATTCAAATTCAGAAGTAAATTGTGAATAGAAAACTATTGCTATAATTCAAATCAACTCACCTTTCCTCTTTTTCTGTCAATCCCCCACTTCCCACCCCCCACT